CAAGTATCACACATTTTTTACAGAATCCGATCGAAGCCACTTGTAAGATCTGAATAGGTGCTATCTTCCTAAGCCTTATCTTATCTGTATTGTCTCAGCTATTCTATTTGTCACCTGGGCAACATGCAGCAATGCAGGCAAATATGTGGATGGTTCTAGAATAAAACTATGTAACATGTCTTTTCAGCATTAATAATATACTACTGAGTAATACTAATATCCAAGGTTTTGCCAAATATACATGCCGTGATCATTTTTCCAAATGCACAGCTCTAGAATTGATCAGAAATGGAGTTGTTCTTTTTTACGCTTTAGTTTCTTTAATTTGAAAATCCATCCAAATATTTTCTGCCATTTTACTATCATAGCAAATTCTAGGCTATCTACATTATAATACAGTGGGTTAGTGGGAAAGTTGGACCTTTCCTTACTACTGTGAAATCCATCATTTAATACAATGTCCCTGGGCCTACAATAATACATTCACACCTGTTGCTCTTGTCTATATCTATCTTTACAATGAAAGTAATAAACATCTCTTTTGGCCCTAAATTGAAGAGTTTTGGGAGGGAAAAAGAGACAAATGTAGACAAAAAATTTGTCAGGTTTTGTCAGGATGGTGTTTCAATCTGTAGGCTGAAGTTTTTGCATACATATCTCAACATTCTAAAATCTGAATAGAGTTTGTTTCTGGTTAGTTAAAACATATCATACATTACCTACAACACCACTGACACCAAATGATATCATTAAAACTACTGAAGAGTGAGTAAAAATTGTAAACAGACTCACTTCAAGCACTAAAAAGTGCAGTTTGTCCCAAACGTTTGGGCTAGTTATGTCAAACTTGTGGCTAGTTTACGCAAACCAACCACAAACACAACTGACAGAGCGTTAACATTTTATACCAACACACCAAGGCAAAATCTATTAGTATACTTTCCCCATAATACAAGCTAGCTAATGGAAAGTATACCTGTATTATAGTCTGAGAGAAAACCAAGAATAATAGATTCTTAAACGCTAAAGGAACTAAAACCACTCTCCCGGAAGTCGCAAAATGTTTCGAAAAAATGCAGTGATTGCCAACAAAATGCCACAATGAATTCTGGAACTGCTTAGTACCAAGAACCACCTGTTGCAAAGTCTCTAACAAACACAGTTTTAGCGGCATCGTCTGTGAATTAAACCCCGAGTTTGTGAAACTGATCGCCCTTCCTGTACATATATACAACGGTGGTGTCAGTCTCGCCATATTGTCTGGCACTACAGGTGCAGATTTTTATATCCACCGCTCTCCAACTCAAGTGCCGCTCAAAATCCCACCTTCGCCACTTCCCTACCCACCTGTTCCGAGGGCGGTCTCGCCGGCAACCGGGGATCTTGGTAGCTCATCTCGGTACAGTCCTAACTAGTCGCCGTTAACTTGGTTTACGAGCCGGCGGCATGTTCCCGTGGTATCGGTGTTTAACGCCGTGATCGAGTTTTGCGTCGCGGCCGAAGGTTTTGTCACGGCGGCCCCCTGATGGGGTCAGTTTTCCTGGTTGCCAGGGGCAACGGGTCACGTGACTTGTGTGACAGGTCCTTGCGTGCGTAGGCTCCAAGCAGATGCAAGGGACTGCGCTTGTTTTTTTACGCCTCTTTTTACTTGTTTACTACAATTTAACAATAGTAGAGAGAGCTTTATTGACACAACAAAAGTACAGCGACTTTCGTAAGGTCCTAAACTACATGTAGACAGTCATGTAGACAAACGAAATTAACCTACATACAATGAATATGAAGTATTAGAATAAAAATGCAACTTGTAAGTGTAATTTTGTCATAAGGCAAATCGTTGTATCAAACTGCTGGCTATCTAGATTAATAGAGGACAATCTAGACGTAAATTCAAAGCTTTGCATGCTATATTATGTTGAGTCGACAAGTGTAAGAAAAATACTTTATAACATACGTACAGAACTAGTAAAGATACAATGACAACGCATACAACCTAGGAGGCAAGGGCATTTTGATCGCTAATTGTTTTTTGCAAATTCACACGACATCAGTTTATTGCCAATATGTTATATCTTGTCTATAGAAACAAGAAACCTATACGGTAAAGACGTTAACTACTGCTCTGTGTACGATTTAACTTAAATTTGAATATTTCGCAGGTGTTTCTTTGATCTTGTTTCTGTGACGCTGTAATAATGTTTGAAGTCTACGTTTGAGGCAACAAGAAGTGGCAATAGGAGAAAGCTCTACGCTAACATGATCCAGGAGAAATATTGTACGTAAGATTTTGACAACAATTCCCGATTCTCACTTGACTAGTGTTGCGTTAACGTTAGGTGTCCATGGTATAGTCTTCTTTTTAGACATATTCAATCAAATCTTCATAAGGCCATGTTGATTTGATTGTATGGATGACATCCACGCGCGCATGAATTTTCGGCCGTTTTCAAAAAAAGATGTTTTCAACCATACTGTAAATCTTACAAAACAGTTGCAAAATGAGCAAATATATACCATACGTTGAAAAAAAACGATAACGCTGGAAAACGATACCAATGTCGTAGAATGCCAAAATCAAATGAAATAACAGACGAAAATGCAAAGAAATTAATATGAAGACTAGATTAATCGCCAAACAATACTCTGTGTCATTTTTGTCCAACCTTCAAAACCACATAGATTTCATAATGAAATAAGTAAAGTAACTTTTTTTTTGCCAAACTTTTTTTATTCGCACGCTCGCATCAGTTTTGGGGTTCTCAGAGGATATCATCCATATAATCAAATCAACATGGCCTAAACAGATCGATATGATATCTGTTATGGGTTAATTTAACATGGCCTTCAACTTGTTATAGAAACGTTGTAACCATAGATGCAAAATATGTTTGAGAATGCCCATGTGGCACAAGCCAACACGCACTATCTTGCGTCTTAGGTCGTGTTTAAACGGAATCACCCAAACCGCGATTCGGGTAACTCACATTCCTCACATCTGGTGAAACCGTGTCCGATCACAATTCACTTGAGCTACATTTATTGTTGTTTGATGAAAACACGCAAGGTGGCGTGTTATTAATGTCAGAGGTCAACGACCTGCTTGCTGGTGCCCCCCTCCCAGCGTATCTCGGCCGAATGCCGACGTGGTCCCGCCAGAGGCGGTGAAGCTCGCCCTAGAACGGACACATTATTTGACCATTACTGCTCTTTAAGTTGCTGCCACGTAAAAATTGTTATTGCATATGAATAAAGAAATATCACCCCGTAATCCATGACCAGGTGAAGTCACATTGAAATCACATTGCGTTCAGACGCAAATTGCGATGCAGGGAAACCGATTCGAAACCACCTCTAGAAGTGGCTTGGGATCGAAGCGCTTTCAATGTGATTTCGGAGCGTTCACATGGAGCCACTTGAACCGGCTTCGGGGTAAACCACATGTAAACCGCCTTGGGTGATTCCGTTTAAACACGGCCTTATACAATACATGTGTAAATGTCCGTGTCCGTAGCACTTCTATACAATACCTGATTGTTCTGAGCCCATGCAAAATTAATGTTATCCGACGTCCCAGAGAGGAATTCTTTTACAAAGTTAACAAAAGCGAGCCTTGCCTTCGTGGTTCAACGGCGAATAATAAAACATTACGCACATGGAAACAATCGTTTAAAAAGAAAACGTACAGACATTGATACATGGACGAATGGATTTCAGCAGTTAACACGTTTCTTTTTGTGTTTAATGACGTTAACGTTATATTTTTTGTATGTATACAGAGAACTAAAAGGTATTGTCTAGTGCTATCTAGTATTTGCAAGGTACTTGTAGTAATACTGTTACTTATTATAAGAAAGAGAGAAGAAAGGGCAACTAACAGTAGATGATAGGTAGTATATAGTATTGTTATAATGTATAAATTCCTAGCAATTAGCATTAGAATATAGCGTCCCAGTATGCAATACTCATGTTTTGCATACTGTATATCCTCTTGTGCATTTAGCCCATCTGGGCAAGAACATGCAATAAAGATTCGTATCATATAAGAAAAAAAAAACAACTTCTGAATCAACGATCTAAAATTTTACCGAGTTTGACTTCGTTTTATTCAATACAAGCAGAAGAAACTCTGTCCGCCTAACATTTAAAATGGTGAACATTGTCTTATTATAATATTTTTGAACAGATTGTATTACATCTTTAATATCACGATTGTTAGCTCTATCCAACTCTTTTTAGCTGTTTAAACAATCTGAACAAACAACGAAATATCTTCTATCAGTTTGACGTACGTTTATGATGTGCATGAGACGCGTTGCAAAAGAGAAACATCAGCACTGAAGCAAGGTAAGGCCATGTTGATTTGATTATATGGATGACATCCGTGCGCGCATGAATTTTCGGCCGTTTCCAAAAAAAAAAGTTTTCAACCATACTGTAAATCGTACAAAACAGTTGCAAAATGAGCAAAAATATACCATAAGTTACAAAATAAAAAATAAAAACTATACCAATGTTGTAGAATGTCAAAATCAAACGAAAAAAGACGAAATTGTAAAGAAATGAATTTGAAGACTAGATTATTCGCCAAACCATATTCTGTGCCATTTGCTCAACCCTCATGACCACGTAGATTTCATAATGAAAATAACTTTTATTTTTTTGCAACACTTTTTTTTATTCGCACGCGCGCATCAGTTTTGGGGTTCCCAGAGGATGTCATCCATATAATCAAATCAACATGGCCTAACAATGATTTGTTGTGCCAAGGTGTGACCCTATGCATGCGTATACCAACGGGTCAACAATCGGAATGTTGTTTTTTTTCTTCACTGCTATTGGTGCTTCTTTATCTATTCCGTTTAATTGTAGTGCCATACAATTGATAGGGCATAGGTGAAAAGAATTCCAGGCTTGCGGTGCCGTAACCCCAGGTAACCCCGACACAAGCACACACGTTCCAAAATCCACGTCAAAACAATGGCAGCCCGAGTGACGTCGCGTCCGTAGCAACCGGCATAGCAACGCAACTGCGAGTAAAGATGGCGGCGCCTAGTATCTACAATGGTGCGTTCGGCGCGTTTAAGTACAACTATAGCCGGCATGGGGTCAGCGGGGCGCCCGATAAGACGGTGTGGGTGACCAGGGCGTACGACCCGAACGATCTGAGGAGTAAGTCAGTGCCTTCCATGCCCGTTCCCCGGCACAAGCCCCTGCAACTGGACCGTCTACCCGGGGCACCTCCGTACTGGGTCCAGCCTAGCGAGGTGTCACTACGAAAGGTGGGCTTATGTGTGCCATCCTTACGTTTTATATACGCAGAATGTTATCTTTGTGTGTTAGAAGACTCATGTATGTTTCATTATGCTGCCAACATTTTATCTAAATGTACTTTCTTGCCCTACATTTACCGGTAACACTTATTGTTTACACGTCTGTCGATATGTTTTTAAAACAACCATGGCATTTACAAATGTCAAAACAGAAGAAAACAGAACTGAAGATTTATATTACATCAATCTATGTGTTGAGTTGTTATGTTGAAGTCCACCAGAATCAGATAACCACTTTGCAATTTTGCACAAACCATTGTCGGCTAAAACTTGTTTTACGGGTTATTATTGCGACAGGTGGAACAGCAGCGACATCTTACGGTCTTCGCGTACATTACAAGATCCATTAGAAAGACACACACACACACACACCAAAATAATTGCCACTATGTTTATCGCATCTGTTTGTCTTAAGATTTTGACATATCATTGCCATATTTCCGGTAAGCGTTTCTGCCTATCATTGTAGTCCCTGTTCAAGAAAAGTTTGAGAACTTACCTGTTAATAAATTTTGATGATATTGAAAATTTACGCTTTTACATATCCCTGTTGGTGTATTTACGTATATACCCAGCACCTCCATTTTACGATAACCCTTACAACTACATGTATACGCACACCGTATCGCAAATCAAATCCAGAATCGCAAATCAAAAATTGTTTTACATTATCATATAGCCGGGTGACTTTGACCAATCAGACGGCTCCATTCCACATTCCTTATGACGCTTTAAGTCACAAGTAGCGTCATAACCGGGTCATTATTCATCCTAATCCATACTTTAAACAATCCAATAGTCACCTCAGGTGACCCAAATAGAACACGACTCTGTTCCAAAAAATCCAAAAATAACTTGAGTTACCCAGTGTTCACGTCACACTTCAAAGAAGCCACGTGACAAGCCTCACTGGGTCAGTCTACTGAGGAAGACCAGAGTGACTGGTCGAAAGAGAAATTTTTGTGATGGACCAAAAGTTTTAACTTTAAACATGTTAAGTATGTAAAACATGTAAAACAACACAGATGAACTTTCATGACAATAACTTGAGTTAATATATCATTAATCATGAACTTCAGGTGACGCGGGCTACCGAAGAAACCGCCCCATACGTCTCCACCACGAGTACCCGGTGCGAGGAATGGTCGACCCTGAGACAAATGCTGCCGTCCCGGGGCAGACCCCTCCGTAACGGCCCTCCTGATTGGGGCACCGCCATGGCCGACCCGCCCAACATGACGTCATCTCAGCAGAGACGATTCCCAATCATCAACAGTTCAATGACAAGGTCAGTTTTGTAATAACTGTAAAAGCTCATTCCCATCATATATTAGGCGTATGTTTCGATAGCCTTATACAATTGTAGTTGTGTACCAGTAGATGCCTAGCCTGGGTACCGTTTTTTTTTTTTCGTGGTAGCAAGCGACATTAGGGAGCGGGCCAAAACTACAGAGGATGGCTAGTAGATGCCATACTTTGCACCCAGTACAATTGTTGTGAAATTAAGTTATATTTTGTATATATGAAATCTACTTTCCGAATTAACTAAAACTACTCGGCTGTATGTCCCTACACTAAAGTAATAGTTTGTAAATAAGTAAATACATTAAAGTATATGCTTCGATATTAGAAACAATACTATTTAAGCCAATATACTGATAAAATCATACACCCTGTTCATATAGTATGCTGAAACCATTGTTTACTTCTGTGTATTTATAGTACGTACGAAAGTACCGTAATTTTGTTGAATATAATTATCTATTTTTACATTGATGTCCTAATGAGGATGTTTCGCAAACTATTTATCGCATATTTTCCCTATAACCTGCTACATTTTGATTCTGACTACCTTCATTTTATTTCAGATTTGCAGACGACATGTTTCTCACCAACCGCCTGTTCAAGCTTCATTAACCAGAGTGCCTTGCGAAAGACGATTTAACATACTGGAAATACCGCTCCTGCTGCTATATAATACATTTGTATCGATATCATAAGACCTCCACATTAAAAAAAAGCAAATACTATAGACACATTGTCAAAAATATCTGACACAGCTTTGAAGTGTGCATACCTATAGAATATTAATGTTGCATTAGTCAATCCTTTAATTAGATCTTTATATGTGGTGGTTGACGAATTAGACGCCGAATTTTATTTCACTTTTGTGCATTGCTAACCAGTTAGCGATCATCACGTGTAAATTATGAATAATATGTTGATGTGTTCATGCTGTGTAAAATCATTTGAGGTTTGGCAGTAATAAAAATAAACCTATACGATATCAAGTGAATTTGTCTAGTTTATTTCGTTTATTGCTATCAGGCAGGGCTCGACTTTTTTTTTGTTTTTGAATAGGTGCATTGTGGAATAAAATTTGGCCAAGTTTCACATCTTGTCTAGTTTGGTTGTATGAATGACAAGAAATTCAAAGTCAAGTTCGTGTAAGGACACAGAACACATCACTATAGCGGCCCAAGCTCCCCGCCTGACTTGTAGCAAGACGGGAAGTACGGGGTTATCTCGAAAAATATGATTATACCTCTCGTACGAACAGTCATGTAAAGTACTGAGGTTACACAGCCTCCACAACAACTTGTGCCGAGAGTTCAGAAAAAAAAATCAACTCTCTTTCATCACTGGCTTCCTCAAACAAGAGGCGAAGTAACAGGCAGGTCAACAAGGCAAACAAACAAATTTGACGGTATTGTAGCACGTACGAGGCGTTACTCCAAGAGCCCCTTGCCCTACATTGTGAAACTCCTTAACGATTTATAAATGTAAATATTAATTTTTTTTTGTCATGTATGTATGTAGAAGTTGCATTTCCATTTTATTCACAAATTAGCTGGAATGATTTTTTAAAACTTCTTACGGTGGGCAAGGAATGTAATGAAACATGCAATTCAGCCTCCGGGCTGCAAAATGTTTTTATCAATAAACCAGTCATCAGTCATCAAAAGTAGCGGGTCTCAGGCCGTCAAACTCGGTCAGAGGATGTTAAACTTGACGAGAGTCGGGTCGGTACATCAGAACTTGGTTTTACGGACTTGTTCCGTGTTAAACTTGATTAGCGCGGGGTCTGTCCCGTAGTATGCGTGTTTGGTCATGTCGGCCGTGTAGCGGCTGGCGGGCGGCTGGCGGCCCAGCGCCTCAGCCATGGCGCGGGTGAAGTGCGAGGCGTTCCCGCAGCACAGCCCGAGGTACCGGACCCCGAGGGCGTACGCCCGGGCGCTCCAGGCGGCGATCTGAGACCGGCTGCACAGCCACGGGTCTAGGTCCAACGGGAACGCCAGATTACCTGCAGGAAAACACGGGGTCACATACAGTCACACGATGACAGCCGCATTGGAGACAATTCTTTCAGCCTCCGTAGCAGGCTTATAGAACTTGGGGTTTGGTGGTCTTCGGCTGTTTTCTGATTAGTCCAGTTCTAAAAACGGGGGTAATTCAACCAGGCCGGCTTTGTTGTCTATATGCAACCAGAAAATATCCTAAAGACCCACAGAATCCCCAGTTTTTGGCATACTATGGAGGCTACAATTCTTTCACGAACAACAAATTTTCTTGTAAACGCTAGAAATTTGTCCATTTGCACATCCTTACGTCTTTACAAAGTGGCTAAGTCTCAGTACGTTTGTTTTGGTAGCGATATATATGTGCTATACGTTGTAAGTTGTACAACAAGGTTTATCTGTGGTCTATCATCGATGGATTGCTCATTGCTTGACAAAGACTGGAGTTGTACAGTCGAAAATTTTGGGTGAGTCCAATATGTTGTAAATTGCAGTTTAACCCTACCTAGACCGGGGGGGGGGCTAAAAGTGCCCGCGGCAACTTTGATGTCACCTAGTGTCTGAACGGCTAGCCGTAGAACGGCCAAACTTGGTGACTTTTCCTAGAATATTGTTGGCAACAATTCTCTATCATTGGAATAAGATAATAATTTTTTGTGTTGCCATGGCAACGGGTTTCTGACAGGCATTTTTTGCTAAATTTAGTACTTTTTGTTTCAACAATAGAATTTTATGGGTTTTATGTCAAGTTACTCATAGTTTCTAATATTAATAACACCCCAAATAATTTTATGTAAATTTTATCATTAAATATGCATAATTTATGCTAATTTGATGACGTCAATGGCCAAAATCCAAGATGGCGGACCATATCATTAGAACAGGTATATACAGGTTATTTTCATTAAAATTTCATCAATACTTCCATTTCTTTTTCCAAAAAAGGTTTAAATGAAGGTCTTTAGTATGTTTACGATGTATTTTAGGCTTTATCATGAAAAAAACTATTTTTGAAAATTCAAGATTGATGATCCAAGATGGCGGATATCTTAAATATGCATGACGTCATTTTATGACGTCACCGGTGTTGCTATGGGCAACATAAGGCTTAGTACACCATCATATTCTGTCATAAACACTTTTGGTACAGTTACGTTGAATACCATTTAGTTTTCAGGGAAAAACCTATTTAGACGGTTTTGGCCAATAAAATCACATTAATGACGTCATAATGACGTCATATTACATCATAACGACATAAAAATTGTAGATATGATAAATTTTCACTAGTACACCATTCTCTGAAAATTTGGTGGTCATACGACATACCGTTCGCGAGTTCGTTAGGGGGGGGGTCAAAAGAGCCCCCCCCCCGGTCCCCCCATGTCAAAAAAAGCCCGGTCTAGGTAGGGTTAAACTTGCTTCATGCTGGGTTTATATTTAAATTTGTGTGTTAGCCTGACCGTCCGGGTCTTTGAGCGTCATGAAGTGCGGGCTGTCCTGATGGGTGCGGTACGGGACGGGCACGGCCACCAGCGGCACCTGCAGGGCGGCAGTACGACACATGTAGTAGGCATTTCCTCGGTCTCTTAAGACCACGAAAGTATATCTTCTATACCATGTTCTTATTGTCTGTTTTCACGCTTAGAGCGTCTGAGTTCTGATGCACGGCGGCAATACAGGAAAAACAAGAAGTCGTAGACATCATCACTCCATGAAATCGTTTGTGGTTTTATCTTTTGGTGTAATTTTTGTCGCTTATGTCAATAGGGATATTTTTTTAGTTAGCTTTTACCATAATGATACAATGTAAATGTCTATCTTGAAGGATTTTGTTGTGGCACTACTCTGTTTAATATTTTGAGGGAAGAACGGGGTATGGAAACATTGTATTCTGGCAACTTATCAACACATTCTGACCCCATACCCCTCGAGATCTGTCCCTTAACCAGCCAGTGTTGCTGCACCAACCTTGATCTTGTCCTTGAGTCCCTGGAGCAGCGGCAGCATGGTGGACGGGCCGCGCCCGCAGTTCAGTCCGACGGCCGCCGCACCGGCCTCCGCCAGCCGCTCCAGCGCGTCCTCTAGCGGAACCCCGTCAAACAGCAGGTCTCCGCGGTGCTTACTGATGCTGACAACAGCCGGCAAACCTACCGGGCGGGAGAGGGAAAACAGGTAAACATTAGAGAGGAAAGATTTAGACTGATACACACGACTTACGTCCTGTGAAGCGTAGAAGCTTTCAGACGGCATCCATCTTCTTTTTTCAGCCATACGAGGCAGATGTAGCCGAGGGCAGCTTAACTTTGTTCCAATGCTACAAAGATAAGTCGTCTCAATCAAAAACAAACTTCTTTGTGAGCATGTTTAACTTTATCTTGACCGTTTTTGTACTGTTTGACAATGCCCAGCCAAAAATCGTTCTGACTTGACAATGTTTTGAAGTGGGGTCGTGCGGCATAGCGGCCAAGAGGTCCCGAGTTCGAGTTCAATTCTGACATACCACCAATCTTGTGCCCTTGGGAAATTAATAAGGCACTTAACACGAATTTCCTCACTTAACTCAAGTGAAGATGAGTATTGTCCTGTCCTATATTTGTACGTTGTGTTCGTGGCGGCATAAAATAAGTTGATATATCTTGAGTGTGCCGTCGCCATGTTTGGTCATGAAATGTTGGAATAAAGAAATGTTTTGAACATTCGTACAAGGCAAAATACGACAAAACTGATCACGAGTCGTACCTAATAGCAACAAACTTCTGTATGAGCATGTATAACTATCTACTAACAGAAAAGACAGACACTTCGGGAACAGTGTGTGTAAGGAGTCTCACCGTTGCCGTACTGTTTGACGCAGTCCAAAGCGAGCCGGGCCTCGGCGTAGGCGAAGAACGTCTCGGCGTAGATGAAGTCCGCTCCGCCCTCCACGGCCCACTCGATCTGTTCCTGTCAGGGGGTTCAGAAACAACCCCAGTAGTATCAGGAACCGTGCTTTCAATCAGAACCATGCTATCCTGAATCATGATCACGCAAGGTTCTGGATAGTCCATGGGTATCCAGAACGGTGCTTTATTCAGAACCATGCTATCCTGAATCATGATCACGCACAATTCTGTATAGTAGTCTATGCGTATTTAGAACAGTGCCTGGGGCAAATCTACGTTCTTGGATACGTGGAAACTATCCAGAACCGTGCCTGGTCCTAACCATAACCCATTCAGGCATAAGAACTCGATAGACATGGTTCTGTTAAAAGAATCAGGGTGTGTTAAGTTAAAAGAAATGAGTTTAGGGAACTACTAAGTAATCTGTGGCCTCGCGGTCTTCTAACCTTGAACATGGCGCGCGCGGCCGGCTCCCAGGCCGGATCCGTCGGGTCGTAGATGTTGGTGCTGCAGATGTTTCCCGCCATGAGGGTGCCGGTGTCGTCCGCCACCTGCCTGGCCAGCCGCAGCGCCGCCCGGTTCAGCCGCTCCAGGTCCGCCTCCCGACCGATCAGCCGCAGCTTCTCACGGTGCAAGTAGAACTGTAGGGGCATGTTGCAGCCAGAAACGTGCTTTATCTAGAACCGTGCTTGATCCAGAACCGTTCTTTATCTAGAACCATGCTTTATCCAGAATCGTGCTTTATCCAGAACCGTGCTTTAGCCATAACCGTGCTTTAGCAAGAACCATGCTTTATCCAGAAATACCATGCCAAGGCACGGTCCTGGATAATACTGAGGCGTATCCAGAACATAGGATGAATCGTGGATGCGCGTAGACAATCCAGAACCACTCTTGATCCTAGCCATAACCCATTCAGGCACAAAACTAGAGCGAGAGCGAAACTTCATTTCAACACAGCGTAGAATCGTCATCCAATTTTGGTTGTCGGTACTACTGTAGCCTTAATCAGGTCCGAATGACCAATCTTTTGGTTCACGTGACCCTCTGGTACGTGACTTGAGTAATGGTCTGTCATTTCCCGCAACATTTTCAGATAAGACTTTTTTTTAATACTGTTTTCAGTCTAAATGCGTATAAGACGTTCTTTGCAGTACGTACCGTGAAGGCCAGCACCACATCGCTACCGGCGTGCACAAACTCCCTATGCAGAGCCTCCACCAGTTCCGGGTGCTCGATGACGACTTCCGGTACGTACGTGCCGGCTTGCAGGTAGCCGCGTCGCTCGAACTCAAACAGATATCCCTCCGCACATATAACCACCTCCCCGTCTCTGAACCTCTCTAACAGACCTGCAGACAACACCAAAACAAATCATTCACAAATAAGAATAAAAACAACAATAACAACAACGAGTCACTCCCTCACATAAGCGCATTTGGTCGGACACATTCAAATCAAACTGTACTTTGTACGTTACTTCATCATTCGCAAGGTCACATAATTTAGGTCCTGAGGTGTTGAACATACCAGTGACCTACAAGTTAGGGCTTCACCAACCTACTGTTTTACAGTTACAGACTGGCTGGCCCACCTTTTGATTTGGACGCCATGTTTGCTCGTCGCTTGTCTTTAATAGCCTGTCTCCCACAAGCTGTGCCGTGACTAGCTGACTTCTGCTGACTTTAACTTAAGGCCACAGCAAGTAAATTTTATGGATGACATCCACCGCAGATTCCAAATCTAATGCGAGCGGGCGAAAAAAACAAGACGGGCCGAAAAAACAAGGTTCCCACATTTTAAAATTTTGAATAAAAAATTGTACAAATGGCTTTGATTCAGTTGGAACATCACATATACACAGCCAACATCACGTATCACTGCATCACAGTAGAGAAACAAGGCATAAAATCAGAGCTTTTGCTTGTCTCCTGCCTGCCATCCACCTTCCGGCATGGCAGCGGACATCTTTGCCCATTTTCGGCATGTTGACCACTGTCTGAGGGCAACAAAATTTCTTTTTTTTTCTTTCCAAAATAAGGCGAAAATTAATGCGCGCGCTGATGTCATCCATAAAAATGACTTTCTGTGGCCTTAAGTACACAGAGTGTCGATTCTAGCCTGAAGCGCCTCTAACCGGTACAGCGAAGTACATACATGTAATCCTATCAGTAGACAATGTTGGCATGACTACAGGTTGGACATTGAACCATTAGAACGTGTTCCACTCAAAACCATAAAAGTCCCAACGCTTATGCCTTCAGCAGTGTTAACAACCCAAACATACAGAGAGAGTTACGGACCATGGATATTTGGTCAAAAGGCTTCAAAACTTTTCAGTTGCACGCGTTACATGTTGAACCACTGTGATACCTTTAAACACAATAAAGTGAAATGATCGCGATTTGTTCCAAAGTTCACTACAATGGACAGAAAGGTTGTGGTGCAAGTCAGCCAGTTTTGCACGCTTTACTGGGACTGCATCAAGGGATGTACCGCACCAAGTAAGGTGATTGTGTGAGGCGTAGAACTCGAGGTCACCCCGCCACATTACATCTGAAGAAAACTTTTAAAATATCCAAAGTCCTATGCCGACGATTCGCTTTCTCCCGTGGTCAAAATTGATACCAGTCAAGCATAAGAGTATATAAAATGAAAAACACAAGAATACAAATATAATCTTTCATGATCTAGTATGACAGCAAAAAAGGTCCAAATTTAGAATACAGCAAAAATGACCCATCTTAATTATCAATACTTTTAATGGGCACAAAAATATATATGTGTTGATTACTTTCCTTTAAAATTCCGGTACCGGTACGGGCAGTTGCAGAGCCCCAGTCATTGAATAATTCACCAAGGACACGCCATAAAATATCGGAGGGAGGAAACAAATTAAATAAGATTCGATGACGTCTCTTGATGACATACCTTCCGCCCAGGTGTTGCCCTTTTTGGTAGCGATTTCCACAGTTACCTTGTTTGGAAAGTTCGTGCGGATACAGCACAGTTCGAAAGTCTACCTTAGCCCAGCATATGAGAACTCATACTGGTGAAAAACGCTACAAGTGTGACCAGTGTGATTATTCAACTACAAAGAAGTTAACACTGGATCGCCATCTGGCTAAACACATTGATGAGCAAGGCTACACGTGTGGACTGTGTGGGTACAAGGTGGCTAATAAGAAATACATCTTAAAACACATGAGACTTCATGCCAACGAAAAACCTTGAGCAACTTCTCAGCACTAACAAACATTGAAAAAAGCATAATATATACTGTATATAACGGTAGCAAAATACACTATTCAGAAACACTACAATGTAAGAATTGAAGCACAGAAATAGGACAATTTGAAAATTGGGAAATTTCTGCCTAGTTTAACTATAGTTACTGACCAGTGTGACTATTCGGCTGTACAGAATTACAGTAGTGTTGTTCACTATCTACAATGTAGCTAAATGCATAGATGAGAAACTTTGAATGTTTATGGAGTACAGCTTGCACAGTGCTGCAACAGATATCTGACAATTTATGGTGTATATACTTTAAAAGAAACACACATATAGCACTATATTTGTCCCATTTAAATGTTTGAGAATAATACACCTAACGATTCTGTGTCAGATCTGCAACCATGCTGCATAGTGGTCTATATAATTATATAGCCATAGTTCAATGTCCTTACTTGTGGTAAATAATTATGTTTGTAACATTCTTGCTTGCATGTTTGTATGCTAGTCCTGTAATTGACTTAGCACAAAATTAATCCTACAAAGTAATGTGTTTCAAGATCTAACAGGTGTTAATTAATATAGATGCTGCCATGTTTGTTTTTTCCCTTAGGCCATGTTGATTTGATTATATGGATAACATCCTCCGGGAGCCCCAAAACTGATGCACGCGTGCGAATAAAAAAAAGTTTTGCAAAAAAAAAGTTCTTTTCATTATGAAATCTACGTGGTCATGAGGGTTGAGCAAATGGCACAGAATATGGTCTGGCGAATAATCTAGTCTTCAAGTTCATTTCTTTACAATTTCGTCTTTTTTCGTTTGATTTTGGCATTCTACGACATTGGTATAGCTTTTATTAATTTTTTTGTAACTTATGGTATATTTTTGCTCATTTTGCAACTGTTTTGTACGATTTACAGTATGGTTGAAAACTTTTTTTTTTGGAAACGGCCGAAAATTCATGCGCGCGCGGATGTCATCCATATAATCAAATCAACATGGCCTTACTTACAAACTATGTATTGATGTAGAGATCATCATACCAGGTGTGTTGATTGTGAAGAATTGTGAAGTAAACTATTATGAATTGATATGATATGAAATATTGTGATTTTCATGGCTCATATATATGTAGTAACCGACATATGATAACAAGCGCTTTAGAACACAACTGATTCAAAACATGCTCATCTCTAATTTCCGTAAATAATTTTATCAGGTTGGAAGATACTTAGGGTATAGAATTTTCTTCTTATACACCTGCTTACGTTTCGATGTCTATCAGACACCTTCCTCAGAGCTTCTGACTGGAGTTCTGCAACTCGCCGCTGTTTAACGCCAAAGTAGGTGGCGCTTTTGCGGCGAGAATGCAATCCCAAACG